AATTGGGGGGGGGTTAGCATATATATATATACATATATACATATATACATATATATACATATATATATATACATATATATATATATGCACAGACTGTTTCTCAAAGTAAAAGTCTTGATTGTTATCGGTACTCTTTGAGTCGTCATGGCTAGGAGTCTACTAGCACGCTTTTCGATGGAACTGTTTGGATTTGTTGCCCTGCTTACACTATCTTGAAATTGGGGCTTTGCTTTGCGATGTGGCGTAGTGTATATAGCTGCTGATTTTGGCTGCAAAGTCCCGTGGCATAGCTTCTAGCAGGTGTTATTGGCTATGTTGGTCTGCATCTTCTGGTACTTTGGTGGCGTTGCTGCTATCACTGCGAATGCCGCCTTTACTGCTCATGACATCGCAGTCCACCTTTGTAGCTGTTGCTCAGTGCCGTGTTTTGTTTGCCATGATCGTCATCATCCTACTGTATTGTTCGTTGATTCATCGCGGGTACTGTTTTACTTGCAGTGCTGTGCCATTGTTGCACCTACAGTTGTTCAGTAATGTTATTATACATATCACCATCATGTTCATCATCACCATCATCACCATCATCACCATATCGCCACCATCACCTCTCACCATCATCACCACCACCACCACCATCACCACCATCAACACCATCACCACCATCACCACCATCACCACCATCACCACCATCACCACCATCACCACCATCACCACCATCACCACCATCACCACCATCACCACTACCATCACCATCACCATGATCACCAGCAACTCCACCATCATCATCATCATGATAGAATCACACTTCACATTGCTCGATTACTACTACTAGTTTGGTTCCGGTGCTAGGGCTGCTAACTGACAGTATGGTCATCAGTATGACTTGTATTGCCATCATTATCATGACTATCTTGGCCATCATCACTATCATCTGCAGCATCTGGCCAGGTTCCTCACCGTTGGACTGCCACGACTTATGTTCATGGGCGTCACCACTGCTCTGATTCTCCTAGGCGTTGTGCTGACTTTGTGGTACTTGCAATTGTTCACCGTCCTATGTGCCTTGACTGAACATAATATGTAACTGCGACATGATATCTTTCTGTCTGCAGGCGTGTTCCTGCGGTGCTCCAAGGCATTGCCATGGCACCTACCTTGTACAGTGGCTTTCGCCTGTACAAGCAGCGACGCTCTGGCACGAAAGGAGCGCAAGACACCCACTTTGCTGCCTGGTGGCACCGAGCGAGCATACTGTCCGTGTAGGGGTTGCGACAGAGGTCTGCAGGAATCGCAGTTTGACGGCGGGGCTAAACTTCCGACATCTCCCGTCCTGCCACGAGGACTGGAAAGATAGTTGTGCCGAATTCTTTGATGTCAACACTGACGGGGCTATGAAGCGGCGCAGAGAGGCCTATGAGGGCAAATAGTGCTTTTGTTGATTTGTAGGCTTGTTGCAGTGCAAAGTTCAGCTGCTGTCTAGAGGAGGATTTCAATTTCGCCAGATGTCACATGTAGGCTGCCGAAGCCGTCATCAAGTCAGTGGATGCCCAAGCTGCAAAGAATTTCAATGAGTTTGTATCTCGGATTAAAGCTTGGTTTGGATGCTTCAGGTCGGTTGTGTGTTTCCGAGACCTCGCGCGTGTCGCAGCAGAATCTCGCTGTCTGTTTGCGTTCATGAAGACGGACCCAAGGACAGTTCTCGGGTGCAAAAGGGTTGATTAACATTGCAGCAGCACGAGAAAGGACTAGGAACGTGTGGTCTAAAAGAGGGCACAAGCCAGCTTACCTGATGCCATCATCGCGCCGCGGCAAGCCATGGTGACATGAAGATAAACGGTTGCCCTCGTTTGAGGTTAAAGATGTTGACGCAATTGCAATCTATGGATGCGGACGCTTATCTTCAGCTGCTTTGAACGAAGTCTTTTCATCCTGAGTCGGCAGCCACGGGATCACAAACAAGTCCTAAGGAATTCTGGCAGCTACTCACGTAGGGAGCCTGCAAGCTCTCGAGAGACATGGAATGGACACCAGGCCGAGTGGTGTTGCGTGGTCTCAGTCGCCATGGTACACGCGTCTCAAGAATACAGATAACTCCTTTACACCCACTACTACTACTGCTGCTGCTGCTGCTACTACTACTACTACTACCACTACAATACTATACTGCTACCTACTACTACTACTACTAGTAGTAGTAGTAGTAGTACTACTACTACTACGACGACGACTACGAGTACTACTAGTTCTACTACTACTACTACTACTACTACTACTAGTACTACTACTACTAGTACTACTACTACTACTACTACTACTGCTTCCCCATATTACTACTACTACTACTACTACTATTCTTACTACTACTACTACTACTACTACTACTTCTAATACTATTACAACTACAATATACTACTACTACTACTACTACTACTACTAATGACTAAGTCTGTCCCCTCGTCGGACGCAGATCGTGTGCGAGACGTCGGCAATGCAATACTACTACT